GTGTGTATTTACAATATTGTATTCTAAGATTTATTAAAATTATTATTTTTAAAATTAAAAGAAGAATAAAACGGAGAATAGATTCGATGGCTGGCCTTTATAATTCCGAACCGAAAGCAAAAATATCTCCTTTCATACAGTGGGGGAATAAATTTTATTAAGTAGATTTTTTTTCAAAACACAATTTGCGGTGAGCGTGGATCGAACACGCGACCTTCAGATCTTCAGTCTGACGCTCTCCCAACTGAACTATCCCCGCAACTTGTTATTTGATTGTTAACTGTATATGTTGTAATTTGCAGAGGCAATCTATTCCTTTATCGCACCAAGTGAACTATTGGCTCTCTATTCATGAAGAAATCACGACTCAGCTTGGACCATCCGAAGCACAATCTCACTTATCCAAATCTCTATTCGTCGTGGTCATAGGCAGCAATGATCTGTTCGACTATTTTGGATCATTTAAACTTCGACAAAAGAGTAATCCTCAACAATATACACAATCAATGGCCGATAAACTCAAAGGGCAATTGAAGGTAAACAATAAGAATTGAATATCTATCACTTAATTATGTTATTGGTTACATGTATAAATTCCTAGAAATTGAATAAATGTATTGATTGAGAAATTGTATTAACAGAGAGTTCATGACACCGGAGCCCGAAGATTCCTAGTACTCGGAGTAGGGCAGATTGGTTGCACACCGGGAAGAAGAGAGAAGAACTCGACGATACATGAATGCGACCAAGAGGCAAACATGTGGTGCTCTTTGTACAACGAAGCTCTAGTAAAGATGTTGCAACAACTCAATGAAGAGCTACAAAGCTCAATGTCTTACACTTATTTTGATAACTTCAAGTCCGTACATGACATAATCTCCAACCCTGCTCGTTACGGTACGTTTACATATGTATATTAAATTTTGTTATCACCACTAACAAAAACAAGGGATGCATAATCGAACGAATCAAACCAAACTGTTCATATTGATTAAAAAAACTTTGTTGTTAAAATATAAAAATAAAAGAACATATACAAATTATTTTCAATTTAAAATGATCAAAA